TAATAATGCAATAGTATAAATTGTAATTGTTAGAGTTGGCTTAACTTAATGATGAAACATTGATGACAGTCATTTTAAATTACTTTAATCCATATTAACTTTGTAATACAATATAAACATCAGAAATAAAAATGTAGAAACAAACATATTACAAAATATTTTAGCCATCTGGCATTGGTAGGCATTACGCTTCAAAGGACACTGTAGGCATTTTAACAACTTTATTTTATTGATGTTGTTATAGTGCCTGGAGTATGGCCCGGCAGCCTCTTGTATTCCCCCAAATCCTTTAGTTCACTAATTGAAGGATGTGGAAGTGTGACCTCAAGCCATGATTCCAAGCTCTCTGGGTATGAGAGCCAGTAATCTTACTCCCCAACTCTCATACATCACGTCAGACTCACATGCACAGTGCGATCACTGTCGGTCATAGAGAAACATTGTATTTAATGATTTTCTACGGCAGAATTTTTGACACATTGCGGGAAGCACCACGCATGTGCCTAAGGTCCCCAAGGTTCCTCTATGAGTAGCACTGGATGGGTCGGTCATCCTGGAGGCACACCTCTAGGATCACCAACCCGAGAAGGAGGTTGCGACAGCACCATGGGAGACTCAGCGCTGGTTAAAAGGTAAGTAATTTGTTTTCATTTAATTAACTGATTAGACATGTAGGTTTAGGAACACAGATATACTGTGCATTCCAAACGCTACAGTTTTCTTTTAAAGAGAAAATTTTAGCTCTTGTTTACTTTGATCATCTTGAAATTTTCCATTCAGTTAACACAATGAAAAACATTTGCAGCCAGTTCTCTAATATGTAGATGCTAAATTAAATATGGTCGTACTCAAAAAACTATTCTTTAATAAAGAAATTATTATTATTAATATTTTTTTTTTTTAAAGGGACCTCTTCATCTCTTGTATCTGTCCAGTGTATTGTATCTGAGAGTTACTCGCTCTGTTTAATTGTAAAGTGGTGTGCAATGTAAATGCTAATAATGATAAGTTGGGAGAGTGTGCCTTACACAGCACATACCTCTATAGCATGTTCTTTTCCAATCTTTTCACTCCTTACATTGTATTTCAGCTCTCTGATTCACTAATCTACACAAGAACAACAAGGACACCCACTGTAAAACAGTGCTATACAGGAGATAAATTTTAAATCCAATGCTAGAATGTCAAGTTATATCCTGCACCGCACATACAATAACAAAATGCTCATGGGGGATGGAAACATTGCCAACTATTCCTAGAAAGCATTTAGACCACTTATACAGCTGCTCCCAATCGAATTACGGATGTGAGTTTTTGAGAGAGTTCCTTGAATGCATAGCTACTTATGAAAGTGTCAGAACAGAAGAGGTGAGGGGACAATCATATGGAATTCTGTTGAAAGCTCTACGTGTGGTGTCATGGGAATGGACCAGATTGTCTATGTTCTGTAGGTTTTCTAAGCTCTGCATGGGTCTATTTCCAATCTTTTAGAGTCCCTTATGAGTGCCATACTTCCCATGTGTCACTATTTAGAAAGGACAGTCCTTATTTGGATCCAAATCCCCCTGTCCCTCTTTTCTAGGAGTTCCGTATAATGGTGTGTCTGAGTTGTAACATAGTTACACAGCAATAATATTCACAGAAACGTGTCTTTTAGACTACAATAAATGTGTTTAGAAATCAGTCTGTTTAAATAAGATGTTCCTATTGTTCTGAATTTCAATATGGTTGCATACATTGTAAGTCCCTTAAAATTTCTCAGAACAGCCAGTCCCCTCAATCACACCCCTAAAATTAATGTTCCCCTCTTTGTACATTTGAAATGTTGGTAGATATGAAGTGCTACCTAATTCACAGTGCATAACATTCTGCTAATTACATGCTATTTTAACCAAACATAAGCTTCAAGGACATAATTAACTCAATCCTCATCCATGGTTAACATCCTATTCCAAGTATTTGGAAACAAAATATTCTGAAATAGCAAACTGAAAGAGAGCAGATTCCATGTGCCTTTCTTGCAGGCCCACCTGGCAAAGTTTATAGGAATTACAATGAAGTAAAAGCACTTAGGTTTATGACACATTATTCTTGATCATTAGCAGCTCTCTCTCAAAAGGAGAGATTTGTTAGCTTAGCAAATTTGGGGGCAATTGTTACAACAACAAAGGTAACATCTAATGAAGAGTCTGTGGAGATTAGAAGTGAGGAGGCCCTAGTTCAGCTTAGTAGTTTATTCTATCATTGGTAGATTAAAAAAAAAAAAAGCAAATATAAACAATTCACAATGAAATTATTACCAGCATTTCAACAATTCTATCACAATTACTGCACCACAAACTAAAATATGCAAGTGGCAAAACAAAACAAACAAAAATATGTGTGGGAATACAATCCAACTCGCTATACTCTAGAAATGATAGAGGAACTATTGCCATTGTCAGGGACCTATGCCATTATTGTACATTAACAATCTCCACAGCTAGTAGCCATAAAGTAATCCTTTTATTGTTCACGAAAGATGCATTCTCTGTTACAGCAATAAAATAGACACTATTAAATTAACATGAGTATTGTGGAGAGTCTATTAGATAACCATTTAGTAAGAATAGAACCATAGTTCTTCTCCTTGTTAAGTTAAATAACGAAGGCCAACAGAACCACAGACTCCTTTCAATAACAAGAAGGAGCATGGAGTTACAGTGGATTAATTTCATTACATCATTTTTTTAATGGATTAATACTAATTAATACAAATTAATATGTTTGGTGTGCAGAAGGTTGGGAACTGCTGTGGATCTTTTGTTATTTTATTTTCAAATGAGAGGTCAAATTCCAAGTTTTATCCTCTTAAGGACTGAGCCAAATGTACAAGTTGTGATCAAAACAAAACGTAAACAAAACCTGGAATTTGCGCTATATGTCTGTTTAGTCGTAACTAACCTCTTTCATAGTAAATGCACCCACCCTTATTATATATCTTTTTATTCAGGGGGAACATGGCTTTCATTTAACATGAATAAAATGGGAGAAAATATGATTATTTTTATTTATTTTTAGTTCTACATGATATTTTAACTGTAAATGCCATAATACTGTTTGAGTAACTGCAATAAAATACACATATTTGTATTCAGCGATGTCTCACGTGTAAAACAGTACCCCCTATGTACAGGTTTTATGGTGTTTTGGGAAATTACAGGGTCAAATATAGCATGTTACATTTTTCAGTTTTTTCACATTGAAATTCAACAGATTGGTTACGTTGCTTTTGAGACCGTATGGTAGCCCAGGAATGAGAATTACCCCCATGATGGCATACCATTTCCAATAGTAGACAACCCAAGGTATTGCAAATGGGGTATGTCCAGTCTTTTTTATTAGCCGCTTGGTCACAAACACTGGCCAAAGTTAGTGTTAATATTTGTATGTGAAAAATGCAAAAAACTAATTCGAACGCCAGTTTTGGCCAGTGTTTGTGACTAAGTGGCTACTAAAAAAGACTGGACATACCCCATTTGCAATACCCTGGGTTGTCTACTATTGCAAATGGTATGCCATCATGGGGGTAATTTTCATTCCTGGGCTACCATACGGTCTCAAAGGCAATGCAACCAATCTGGCAAATTTCAATGTGAAAACACCGAAATGCAAGCCTTATATTTGACTTTGTAACCTTTGAAAACACCATAAAACCTGTACATACGGGGTACTGTTATACTCGGGAGACTTCGCTGAACACAAATATTAGAGTTTCAAAACAGTAAAACGTATCACAACAATTATATAGTTCGTGTAAGTGCCATTTGTGTGTCAAATATGCCAAAAATTTCACTTTCACTGATATCACCGTTGTAGTACATTTTACTGTTTTCAAACACTAATATTTGTGTTCAGGGAAGTCTTCCGAGTAAAACAGTACCCTCCATGTACAGAAAATTAACAGAATGGAAGCTTAATATAGAGAAAATCTATAGGGGAGTGAAGGGGTTAACCCTAACTAGGAATATAGAGACAAGAGGAGAGAGACACTGTCCTGAATGGAGATAGTTAAAACATAACTTTTAATCAGAAAAAAATCAGTAAATAGTGTATAATGTAAAAACTTACTCTCAGAAAGCCCATATGCATATAAAGGGATTATAGAGAGATAGTATGTGGAGTAAAAAGTATTAAATTGGTTGACATTGATAGAAATGTCACTGCAGACAGACAGAATGAAAGTGTTAGTGTCTAGCTCTAAGTGTAGAGGTGTAATTACTGCTAGTTGTGGCTGGATAAATAGCTCGAAAATGTAGTAGGAAAAAAGGTTCAAATGTTGCAATATACAATGACTGTAGCGACTTGTATGTAACAAGTCCAGCACTGATTGAAGTAGCATGCACTATGCAAAACGTGAGCAAGATATTACTTTGCTGCAGAGGGATTTAGATAGACTGGGGGACTCTGCACTCAAATGGCAGATGAAATTTAATGTTGAAAAATGCAAGTTATGCACTTCGCCGTAAAGAATACACAAGCAACGTATACCCTTAATGGAAGCTAATTAGGGATAAAAACACACGAAAAGGACTTGGGAATTGTTATAGACAACAAACTATGCAACAATGTGCAATGTCAATCAGCAGTGGCCAAGGCCAGTAAGGGATGAAAAAGGGCATTCATTCTCAGGACAAGAATATCATTTTGCCTCTTTATAAATCACTGGTAAGACCACATATTGAATATGCTGTGCAATTTTGGGCACCTGTTCTAAAGAAGGATATTATGGCACTAGAAAAAGTGCAGAGGCGGGCTACAAAATTAATAAAAGGAATGGAACATATCAGCTATGAAGAAAGGTTAACCAAAAAGGGGCGGGAATTCCGGTCGGACGGAGCGGTCGCATGCTGTAACAGCTCCGTGATCGGAATGGCCTGATAAGCGGCAAAAAAGCTGCAAAAAGAACCCACAAAACCCTGCCAAGGTGCCGAACAGTAGGGGAACCTCTAACCCACACAATGGCACCCCCAAAGTCTCAAAGGGCATCGGATTTCTTCCGGCAGGGTAAGGGAGGCAAGCAGTGCTTGGAACAAGATGGCGGCGGCTCCCGCTCACCCACTCACACCTCAGACACAGGATCAGACACAGATTCGAGGCAAGCAACTGCTGATGACCTCTCTGTGTCGGAGAAACGCCTGGCGTCCATGCTGCAGGACCTACGCACCTCTATGAAAACTGACTTTCAGGCTGCGGTCTCCGACATGCGCAAAGACATGAAGTGGGGACACGAGTGAATGCACTAGAAGAAAAAACAGATGAGCTCTGCCATATAAATGACTCCATAGTAGAGAAAATACAAAGGATGGAAGCTGATAACAAACGCCTTATGGAAAAACTGGCAGATCTGGAAGATCGCTCCCGCCGCAATAACATCCGCGTGCGTGGGGTGCCAGAAACAGTAATGCAAGAGGAGCTGCCGTCCTACCTGCTGCGACTTTTTCAAGCGATCCAACCAAACCTAGAGCCGGCGGATCTCCGCCTGGACTGGGCACATCAAGTGCCAAAACCTCAAAACCTTGCGCATGAAGTCCCAAGGGACATAGTGACCAGACTGCACTACTACAGTGCTAAGGAAGTCGTACTCATGGCACAAAGGAAGGCCTCAACGATGCCACCCACCTATGAAGGAATCTCCCTCTTCGTCGACCTCTCACCGACAATAATGGCCAGGAGGAGGGACTTCATTAACATCACGAAATGCCTCAGAAACAACAAAATACCGTACAGGTGGGGATTCCCTACTAAACTCCTTATCTGGCGGAATGGCTCCCTAACAAAGATTGAAGATCCGGCTCTGGGAATGGACAAGCTCAAGACCTGGGGCTTGTTCCCAGACAGCAAAACATCCACTGCCCAAGCCTCCCTAAAGAAGGTGACCAAGGCCTAAAGGATGTTACTGTCATCCAAACGGAGGTGCCAGCTACAGCCTGACTCAGCCACTCTGTTAAGCTCCATGGTGACTATCCCAATCCAGGAATTGCATAGCACGAAGGACTTTCAGCACCCACGTGAGTACGTTACTCAACCTCTCCCTACCCCCCCCCCCCAATCCCAGTACAAAGATAAAATAACTTTGCCACACCACTGCACAACTTGCCCACCCTGACACCGCAATAAGACTTGCCGCTCAGGAGCCTTGCAAAGACTGCTCACAATAGCGGGCGAAGGGACTACACCCACTAAAAACTGAACCCAGCAAGGCCAGCCAAAAAACTGCAGGGCGCGGAAGTTGTACTCACCAAGTTTCACGGGAGAGGCACATGCCCAACCTACTCGTGGACCTATGCAAAGAAAGCCACCGGTCAACAGTTCCCCCATACCATACCCCCCCCCCCCTCGCCACCTACTTCTCAGAGGGGGCCAGGTTCTAAAAGAGGTACATGCCTCACCGAATATCAAACGCCCCCCCGATACTCTTACAGGACACCGCCCACCGCTGTGACCCCCTCTCAGTGCAGTAGAGGGTGTGAGCTCGGCGGTGGGGTCCTCCACATAATGCTTAATAGCTATTTGAAATGTATATACTTTATTTCTGTTTTATGGTTTTGTTATCAAGGTTATGAATGAGGTTGTTCCCGCTGCTCTAACCCCCTACCCGAGATGCTCCCCCTCCACTACAGGGTAAGACACGGGAAAAAATAGGCTCATCCCACCAGTTCTATTATGTAGCAGCAATGGGTAATGCTACACCCAAACAACTAGGCCCTAAGGACACCCCAACTATTTAAAATGACCTCCGCCCATAAATTTCACTTGGTGTCCCTAAATGCCCATGGGCTGAACACCCAACAAAAACGCAGGCTGGCGCTCTCCCAATTACGCACCCTACACGCCTCTGTAGCCTGCATACAGGAAACCCACTTTTCAATTAAAAACCCACCAAAATTCTCGTCCACATCTTATCCACAAGCCTACCATGCCACGGCACCAAAAAAGACACGAGGTGTCAGCATCCTCTTTCACTCTGATTGGCAATTTAAATGTGAAGTAGAACACAAAAGCCCTGATGGCAGGCTTTTAATACTAGTAGGATCGCTAAATGACGTCCAGGTGACTGTAGTCAACCTGTATGCCCCCAACACCAACCAATATTACTTTATTAGGAAAGCTTTACAACAAGTAGACCAGAAAAAGAGAGGGCAGTCGCTTATATGTGGGGACTTCAATTGTGTACTGGACCCTGCTCTAGATAGGACCAGCAAACCTAGCTCCCATCTGCGATCCACACAAATAGGGACAAAAGTAACAGCGCTCATCAACTCACACGGCCTACACGATACATGGCGGGCACTATACCCAGCCTCTAAAGACTACACGTTCTACTCCAAGATACATGATCAATACTCCCGGATAGACATGTGCTTATTGGATGGAAAAACGCTAGATACTCTAGACGAGGTCTCTATCGCCCCAATAACTTGGTCGGACCATGCCCCCCTCAAATCAGTTTTTATTACGATCCACCCGGTCCGGGGTCATGGACAGTGGAGACTAAATGAATCACTGATAGACAATGTGGAAAGGGCAGCCGAGATAAGGAGTGCCTTGGCGCACTACTTTGTGGATAACCACTACACCGACACGAACGTCGCCATGACATGGCTTGCCCATAAGGCGGTCACGCGCGGCCTGCTCATACGACAAGGGGCGAAAATGAAGTGCCAACTGACGGAAAAAAGCAGGACCTTGCTAACCGATTTAAAGCAGGCAGAAACACGACACAAGACCTCCCCTACATACTCCAATAGACAGGAGGTACAAAAGATAAGGGCCACCATAGAAGCACTACAGATGCAGCAAGTAGAACGGCCAATTCGCAAAATGAAAACCAACTACTATAGACAGGGAAACAGAGCTGGCAAAATATTAGCCTCCCAACTCAAGGAACGTAACTTACAGGTGAAAATCCCATACATCAAGTACAACACAGGCACCAAAATTAGAAACCCCAAGGCAATAGTAGACGAATTTGTCCACTTTTAGGCAGGGTTATATAACCTATCTGAGGATGCCACCCAACACCAACCCAGCCCCCAAGAAATTACCACCTTCCTGGAGGGGGTGACTCTCCCCCGGATCTCCAACGAACAGGCCACCGCATTGACCAACCCAATTGTAGCCTTCGAGGTATCCAAAGCTCTACATGACACACCTAGACACAAAGCCCCAGGTCCAGACAGCTTCTCCACCCACTACTACAGGGTTTTTGAGGACCAGCTGCTTCCCCACCTCACGGCCTTATTCAACCATATCCTAGAGTCAGGTGATATACCCCCGGAAATGTTGGAAGCCACTATTATTACGCTCCCCAAACCAGGCAAAACTACTGACTCATGCGCAAATTACTGCCCAATATCACTCCTTAACGCTGACACAAAGTTGTTTGCCAAGATCCTTGCGAACAGAATCCACCCTATATTAGCTCAATTAGTCTACCCGGAACAGTCAGGGTTTTTCCCTGGGCAACAAGTGAAGGACAACACCAGGCGAGCCCTTGACGTAATGGAACTCATGAACAGGGACGGGTCACAGGGCTTGCTGATGGCCTTAGACGCGGAGAAGGTCTTTGACAAACTCCACTGGGGTTATATGACAGAGGTCCTTCGCAGGTTCAACTTCACCGACAAAATTCCTGACTGGGCTCCTATCCCTTTATTCGTCCCCCCAAGCCACAGTCATGCACTCCGGTTTCATCTCTAGATGATTCGCCCTAACGAACAACACAAGGCGGGATGCCACCTTTCCCCCCTCATCTTTATCTTGGCACTGGGGCCTCTACTTCATAAAATCAAAATTAACCCCAGCATCACAGGTGCCCCCTCCCCGATAGGCCCACAAAAACTGGCAGTATTTGCGGACGACATTCTTCTCTTCCTAGCGAATCCTTCGTATTCCCTACCAGCTCTCCTGGACCTATTACGGGAATATGGCCAAGTCTCTTACTACAAAAATAATGTAGCAAAAACACAAGTACTCCCACTGAACATGCCCTGATCACAACTCACGACCCTACGAATGCTATATCCCTTTGAATGGAGGAAGGACACCATTTCATATCTAGGCACACAACTGGCACCTTCCAAACGGCTCCTCATAAAACATAACCATGGGCATCTCAATAGCAAAAATAGCAATTTTTATTTCTATTCAGGGCCATGCCCATCAGTTTACCAAACTACACCCTTTGAGCGTTCCAGCGCCTTCTCAACGCACACATATGGAGGAAAAAAAACACCCAGGATCTCACTAGCGAACATAAGTGCAGCCATGGTGGGAGGCGGGGTGGGTGTGCCACACATAACCAAATACTATCTAGCAACGAACTTATCTCAGACAGCGAGCCTCCTCTCCTCCTCGGGCTGCCCACTGTGGCACCGACTGGAGAGTGTGGTCTGTGCACCCTACTCCCTCAGGGACCTAGTTTGGATTCCAGCCAAAGCCCAACCTCGCCTCACCAACCTTCTTACGACAACCAAGCTGTCCCTGCAGCTATGGCTGCGCTGGGCCCCGAAAATGCTCAGTGAGAAGGTGGAGACCCTTGCCCCGCTAATGAGTCTCCAGCACCACACACATGACGTGGCCCTGAGCGGGTGGATAAATAGAGGGGTAACGAGGATAGCACACCTCTACGGGGCAAACGGGATGTTGCCATTCCCGGATCTCCAGAGCCAGTACCTTCTACCAAACAGCGAAATATTCATGTACTTACGCATTAAAACATATAGTAGGGGATGCCAGTAAGGCAATGACACCAACACAATTTTAAAACCTCTTTTACTTACTATGCCAAGGCCTAAAACCCCCCCAAAAAAACATTTTCCCTGTGTTACCATAGGTTACTAGACATAGACAGACCGGCCAAACAATCATACATGCTCAAATGGGAAAAAGAGCTGAACTGCGAACTCGAGCCTGGGAAGTGGATAGGAGCCATGACATAAGTTAAACGGGTGACACTGTGCTTAGACCATGTAGAAGCAGCCTACAAGATGTGGATGCAGTGGTACTACACACTACACAGGCTGGCCCAAATATACCCAGGGGTATAGGATAGATGCTGGCGCTGCAGCCAACAAGCGGGAAATACGAGCCACATATTCTGGTACTGCCCGGCACTTAGCCAATACTGGCAACAAATCCAGACATAATCATGTATGTACATAGTGGGGAATTACGATACCACATAACATAGATAACCCCAATAAAAAAAACCCCAATAACGACAGACAACTTA